GTGTGCCTGTACTGTCATCCTAACTACTCTAGGAGGTTGAGTGGGAGAATTGCTTAACTCCAGGAGTGGAGACCAGCCTGGGCAATATAGCGAGACTCCCCCTTCCAGGTTCAAGCAATTCTCTGGCCTCAGCCTCCTGAGTAGCTGGGACTACAGGTGCCCACCACCACACAGGCTAATTTTTGTATTTTTAGTAAAGACATAGTTTTGTCATGTTGGCCAGGCTGGTTTCGAACCCCTGACCTCAGGTAATCCTCCCATGCCAGCTTCCCTGTGTTAGGAATACAGGTGTGAGCCACTGTGACCAGCATTCTATTGCTTATTGTTCATGTTTTCCTAAGAATAGGGATGTTTGTTTTGTTATCTTGCGAATTTCAAGTGCCTAGACAGTGTCTGGTACATGATGGGTGAGTGTGAATGATGAACAAGACTGCTTTCCATACCTATATGGCCAGATCCTGGCCCATCTCTCCACACTATCTCCCACTGCTTTCTCCCATATTCTTTGTGTTCCAGATGTCCCAAATGCTAACATTTGTATGAATGCACCATAGTTTATTTTCCCTCCTTGCTGTCTATCATCCCTTCTAGGTCTTTCTTCCATTTGTTTCTTATCCTTCAGTACTCAGCTCAAGATGTATTTATTTATCTCTGTTATATTGGCATTCTTTTATTTTAAATTGTACCTTGAGTTCTGGGGTACATGTGCAGATGTGCAGGTTTGTTACATAGTTATATACATGCCATGGTGGTTTGCTGCATCCATCACCCCGTCATGTACATTGGGTATTTCTCCTAATGATATCCCTCCCCTAGCCCCCCACCCCCCGACAGCCCCTGGTGTGTGATGTTACCCTCCCTGTGTTCATGTGTTCTCATTGTTTAACTCCCACTTATGAGTGAGAACATGCAGTGTTTGGTTTTCTGTTCTTGTGTTACTTTGCTGAGAATGATGGTTTCCAGCTTCATCCGTGTCCCTGCAAAGGACATAAACTCATCATTTTTTAGGGCTGTATAGTATTCCATAGTGTATATTTGCCACATTTTCTTTATCCAGTCTATCATTGATGGGCATTTGGGTTGGTTCCAAGTCTGTGCTATTGTGAACAGTGCCACAATAAACATACGTGTGCATGTGTCTTTGTAACAGAATGATTGCTAATCCTTTGGGTATATGCCCAGTAATGGGATTGCTGGGTCAAATGGTATTTCTAGTTCTGGATCCTTGAGGAATCACCACACTGTCTTCCACAATGGTTGAACTAATTTACGTTCCTACCAACAGTGTAAAAGTGTTCCTATTTCTCCAAATCTTCTCCAGCATCTGTTTTCTCCTTACTTTTTAATGATCGCATTCTAACTGGCGTGAGATGGTATCTCATTTCTTTAATGACTAGTGCTGACGAGCTTTTTTTCATGTTTGTTGGTTGCATAAATGTCTTTTTTTATGAAGTGTATGCTCATATCCTTTGCCCACTTTTTGATGGGATTGTTTTTTTCTTGTAAATTTCTTTAAGTTCTTTGTAGATTCTGGATATTAGCCCTTTGTTAGATGGGTAGATTGCAAAAATTTTCTCCAATTCTGTAGGTTATCTGTTCATTCTGATAAACTTAATTTGCTGTGCAGAAGTTCTGGAGTTTAATTAGATCCCATTTGTCTATTTTGGCTTTTGTTGCCATTGCTTTTGGTGTTTTAATCATGAAGTCCTTGCCCATGCCTATGTCCTGAATGGTTTTGCCTAGATTTTATTCTAGGGTTTTTATGGTTTTAGGTCTTACATTTAAATCTTTAATCCATCTAGAGTTAATTTTTGTATAAGGTGTAAAGAAGGGATCCAGTTACAGCTTTCTGCACATGGCTAGCCAGTTTTCACAACACCATTTATTAAATAGGGAATCCTTTCCCTATTGCTTGTTTTTATCAGGTTTGTTAAAGATCAGTTGATTGTAGACATGTGGCATTATTTCTGAGGCCTCTGTCCTGTTCCATTGGTCTATATCTCTGTTTTGGTACCAGTACCATGCTGTTTTGACTACTGTAGCCTTGCAGTATATGGGCATTCTTGATGGTGCAAAAATGTACCATTTATTGCCCATTCTACTTATGTATACCTCTATTATTACATTTATCTTCCTCTATTTCAGTATTTATCTTCCTATTGAATCAGGGTCTGTACAGGAAACAGAAGGCACACTCAGAGGAAATTATGAAAGTTTTTTTTTCTTTTTTTTCCCCCTACATTCCAAGAAAGTTGTTTTACAAAGAAACTATATTTTCAGGAGTGGACAATTAAGGGAAACTGTTATTGGATAGAGGAGCCCAGTGAGTGCCAGCGCCTTGGAGGAGGGAACTACAATTGTAGAGGAACCGCCAGAGCTGCCATGCCAAAATAATGCCTCCCATTGGCTGAACTCAATCAGAAGCCACAGAGCAAGGAGTCTCGGTGATGCAGCTCACAGAGGTCAAATCCTGTAGGCAGGGAGAGGGGAAGAAAACATGGAGAATGGATCTGGAGGAGAGGGGGAGAACAGAGACCAACTAGCATACACTAAATCTCCATACTAAATGAAAGGTTCCTGAGGACAGGACCTATTCTCATTCAGCCTTGTAGCTCCAGCACCTAGCACAAGGTTTAGCCTAGAGTAAGTATTTGGTAAGTCTTTGTGAAGGCAAACTACAATGTCAGGGCATGTATTGCATTTAACTTAGTATTTTAGGAAGGCAGGCAGAAAGGCAAGCAAGTTGTTTATTACCTCTTAAACATGCTTTTCCTTTCATAGAGATGAGGTCTTGCTTTGTTACCCAAGCTGGTCTTGAGCTCCTGGCCTCAAGTGATCCTCCCACCTCAGCCTTCCAAAGTATTGGGATTCCAGGCATGAACCACCACACCTGACCCTGTTTGTTACCTATTTTGGCCCATTTTCATTCATGCTCACATGAAATTTTTTAATACTTTTCTTGGTATATCTAATTATATATTCATCTATTTATGTATGTATTTATTTTTTATTATTTTTATTTTTTAAGATGGAGTCTTGCTGTGTCACCCAGGCTGGAATGCAGTGGCATGACCCTGGCTCACTACAACCTCCACCTCCTGCGTTCAAGCCATTCTCCTGCCTCAGCCTCCTGAGTACTTGGGATTACAGGTATGCACCATCATATCCAGCTAATGTTTGTATTTTTAATAGAGATGGGGTGTCACCATGTTGGCCAGGCTGGTCTCAAACTCCTGACCTCAAATGATCCATCCATCTTGGCCTCCCAAAGTGCTGGATTACAGATGTGAGCCACAGTGCCTGGAAAGTATATCTAATTTAGCAGCACAAGGACAGAATTCACTGGAAAGGTTCATTTTGATTATCCTATTTTGCTGCGGTCAGGCTAATACCTCCAGAAGTGACACAAACCTGAAAACATAATTATCTATGTGGAGCTATCAGCACAAGATGCAAAGTATGAAAACCACAAAATATTTCAGTCTGTGATGCTTGTTGATCATTTGAACAGTACCACCTCCAGAAACTGACACACAATAGGCAATTAATAAAAGCTTCTTGACTGTGTAGAGTCAGGTAAGCCAAGGATATTTCTGAAGCATTAAGTAATCCAGATATTTTAATGAGACAGATGAGGCTGTGGGATAGGGTTATCAACATCCCAGTTTGCCTGGGACTGTCCTGGTTTTAGTACCCATTGTCCCTCAGCCTGGAAACCCTGAGTCCTGGGTAAACAGGGACAGTTAGTCACCCTATGATTACAACCAATTTAAGAAAATGTAGATTTTTATCCTTATGATATAGCTTCATTGAGAGGTATTATTCAAAGATGATTAAACCATTCCAGCTCTTTGACAGTTATCTCGAGTTTTGTGAAACTTGGAACTGTCTCCAAGGGATCTGGTGACTTCACTGATTATCCAATTAAGAAATCCTAAAACGGAAGGGCACGATGGTTCACACCTGTAATCCCAGCACTTTGGGAGGCCGAGGTGGGTGGATCACGAGGTCAGGAGTTTGAGACCGGTCTGACCAACATAGTGAAACCCTGTCTCTATTAAAAATACAAAAATTAGCCAGGCATGGTGGCCAGTGCATGTAATCCCAGCTACTAAGGAGGCTGAGGTGGAAGAATAGCTTGAACCCAGGAGGTGGAGGTTGCAGTGCAAGTCTGCTCCATTGCACTCCAGCCTGGGCAACAGAGTGAGACTCCATCTCCAAAAAAAAGAAAAAAAAAGAAGTTATGAAAACTACTTAATCTCATTAATTCCTCAGGTGTACAATCAAAACGTACTCTAGCATATTTCTAGAAATAATAAGCCTCTCTTTCCACTAATTTCCTCAGGTTTCTGAGTGTGTTTCCAAACACCTTGCCAGCCTTCCCCTCTGTAAACTGCAAAAATCCCTTGTTCTAATATTCTACAAGAGAAATATGCAGACACAACTATTGTACCACTGACCACTTCAAATCTCCATATATGCTAAATGAGAAAATGGTTGAGAATAATAGAAGACTTTTTGCAGTAAGTTCTTATCCTTAAACTTTTGGCTGAACTGTAGAAACCTGATATGCAATAAATGCCTGGGGCTTGAACCAGATAAACTCCTTTATAGTGAGAAACATCATACAGAGACTGATTTATGTATCCTTTATGTCTGTCCAGGAAATATTTAGCCAGTATGTAGTATTTATAATGTATGAGAGATTTTTTTTGGGAAAAAAGGCAAATGGATTGTTTGGATCTTGGTAGAAAAGGCTAATGCTACTGAAGCAAATAAAAAAATAAAATCCAACGGCTGAGTTCAGTCACAACACACAGGTGATCATCCACCCAACAGCAATTAGCTTTTAGAAAGAATAGATAAACCAGTCACCAAAATTATCACCAGCCTATGTGATGTGTTATTAAAGGAAATAATTCAGTTAATATTTATGGTTTAAATTATTATTCATTTTTATGTTTATGGCAGGCATTGACATTTTTGGTACTAAAAATAAATCTGGTAATAAAAATAAATGATTAAAATAAGCAAACCTAATCAGTGGAAGATCAACTATTTCTGAAGTTTAAAAAATTATCTAAACATTTAAAATCACCATCACCTGAAAAAAAGCTAATAATAATGAAAGATATCTTTATTAAGCATCTTCCACTGTACCAGGCACCGTGTTAGAAATTTTACATAGAACCTCATTTAATCCTTTCCACCCTCTGATATGAGTATTACCAACACTATTTCATAGGTAAATAAAATAAAGATCAGAGAAGTTAAATAATTTGCTCAGTATCACAAACTGTTAAGGTAGACAACCAGAATTCTATCTAACCCAGGTCTCTGTTCTTTCTACAACATCATTTAATTACCTAAAAACAAAGAAACACTTAAAGACGTGTAAAAGTACTATTCTGGTAACGATATTACTTTGCTTCTATGCAATTTCATTGTATTTTGAGAATTAAGAATGAAATTAAATAAGAAACCTTCTATGGCATTATAAAATCTACTATAATCATGCCTTTTGTGTATTGTAGAGGTATTTGTATCTTTTGTACTTGTTGAATGATATTAGCTAATAATTGTACTCATTTTGCTAATTTGCTCATATATTTTAATCTCTGAAAAAGTTGCCAAAAGCTGTTAACAGGGAACAATATGTATGTTTTTAAAGTTTAGTAAATCAGAACAACATGGGCACATGCTAAAGATTAATTTGGAACCATTTACATATATGGCCTTCTGGAAAAAAAAAGAGGAGGTACTTTCTTTTTAAGTGCAGAAAAAGGAATGCAACCTATTTCTTGCAAGGACATATGAGTGGATCTCATATTCTCACACATGGCTTTGTTTTCAAATTCTTGAAAGTGCAGAAATTCTTTTAATTTAAAGGTGAGCCCATGGAAAATCTGGACCAGCTGTAGAAAACCATCCAAGAACTCAGTGCCACAGAGCCACTTTTGCAGTTGTGACACCAACCCCAGGGTGATCTGACCCCGTGCTCACTAGTGTTCTAAATTATCTAAGAGAGGTACTTCTGTTCCCACTGCTGCAAACAAGATGCCTCCATGAAATTCACCTCATTAACTGATACTGCCTAGAGGATGTTAGAGAGTAACTCGGGCAGCCTTTAGACTTGAGAGAGGCTCCAGGCTGTCCAAGGAAGGAAGACTCACAAAGGGTCTAAATTCAAAACATTGGAGAGGAAGACCTGGAAACAGCCATAACTCACCGCGCTATTTGAAGGACCTGGAAAAACAGATCATCGTGACTTTCTTCAAGGTCACGCAAAGTTTAAGTGATTTTTACTGTCCCGCATTCCAGCATGTCCTCTTCTATGGATTCATTTCCCATGGTAGTTCATAATTCTCTATTTATGGCACTTTTATTAGGTAACAATATCTCATCTCTTTCTGATAATTGTGCTGCCACATATTTTTAGAAACTTTCCCATACATCTGAGGGACTGAGGGGTTGCATTAATGTTGCGTTTGAAAATTCTGTTCTTGCACCAAACAGGTAAAAGTGACCTTATTAGTATTTCTGTTTTCAATGTCCAGAGAAAAGTCCCAGGGAAAGAAAAACAAGATAAAGCATCATGTTGTCCACTGGCAAAATCTGTACATGGAAAGTAGGCTAAGCTAGAGTGATCAGCTTAAGGTGGCAGTTAATAGTGTCTACAGCTCTTCGTTAACCTCAGGACCTGGCAGGGCGGGGATTGAAATGAGTGGGCTCCTCCACGGTTTCCTCAAATACTGATTTTATCAAGTTGGGCTGAGAATTCCATAAACTGTCTGAGCATTGATCCTTGGATGTGATCATTTTCAGAGTAATTTTTTTTCTGCTTGGGTTTATTTATTTATTTACTTATTTATTTACTTTGAGACAGAATCTTGCTGTGTTGTCCAGGCTGAAGTGCAGTGGTGCAATCTCAGTTTACTGCAAACTCCGCCTCCCAGGTTCACGCGATTGTCCTGCGTCTGCCTTCCGAATAGCTGGGATTACAAGTGTGCACCACCACACTCGGCTAACTTTTGTATTTCACCATGCTGGCCAGGCTGGTCTCCAACTCCTGACCTCAAGTGATCCGCCCGCCTCGGCCTCCCAAACTGCTGGGATTACAGGCGTGAGCCACCGCACCAGGCTCCACTTGGCTTTTGCCAGTGGTTCTTCAGGGATGGTGTGTCTCCCCACCTGTACCTCCTCCTCCTCTTCCTGACTGTTTTGAAAAAGCGAAGAAATGGATTGCAACAGCCCAGGAGATTGTCTGAGTTTTGCTGGCAGCCTCCGAAGCAGCCAACGATATTTCTACCTTCTTCGGCAAGGACAGGGAGTGGCTTTGTTCTACCCACGCCGGAGGGACCGGGCATCTGCGGAGCCCGACCCCTGGACTTGGGAGCGGCTTTCTCTGACTCTCCGGAGAAATGGGCAAGAGAGCGAGGAGAGAAATTTGTGTTCTGAAGGATGTTGTCCCTCACCTGTCACTCATCACTCATAAGATGCGTTGGAGTGCTGCCCCCTGGAGGTGTCTGTGCTACCGGCTGCAAGTCAGAGCCGAAGGCACAGGGTCTCAGCAACCTCCACGGTGGAAGCCAACCCCGGCCCCGGCCTGCAGGTGACGCCAGGTACGCGGGGACTGTAGACGACCTGCGAGTCTGGGCCTGAAGCTAGCAGAGGCCTCTCTGCTCCAGCTTAAAGGCGATGGTTGTCAGGAAGGAATGTGGGCTCACTGTGGAAAGAACATTGTTTTTCAGAAGAAGCCAGAAATATAGATGCTTATGTAAAATTCCTGATTTTTCAAACTTGGCAACCTCACTCCGTTGAAAAATGAAAACATGCAAAAAAAATTGCTATGGCAGGACCACAAATTATAGATACAATGCCTTGTACACATAAGAAAGAGGGCATCCCTCTGGGCAGATAAAGCAGGAGGGGAAAAATGCAGTGGGTGCTGATGTGCCAAGTCAAAGGTGCCTCTGACCAGTTGCTTCCCTGCCTGGGGCTGGGCTTAATGCGAGGGTAACAGCTGGATGTCAGCCTCCTTGTGGGGACACCCGACACAGCTGCAGTAGCCCTGATAGAGCTGTCAAGTGCACCTGTCTATGCCAGATTCTGTCCCTTGGCCCCAGGTTCACAAACTCTGGATGCTGGAACAGGTAGCCAGAGAGCAGGGAAGCCAGTGCAACTTGCAAGTCTACCCTTGGTAAAAGGCCATACAATTGTAAAATATCACGCCCCCCCATAGCCCAAACATCCTCTCCATATTCCTGGATGATGAACATTGGCTCGGCAGGCATGTTTACTTTAGGCAATATTTTTCTGAGGTTATCGTATTCTATGTGTGAGAAGGATGCATTTAGTTATCCACTTTATCTCTGGGGGGTACCTTTCACCTGTTGTTATTTTTAGTATCTTCCCTTGATTGACCTACTTGTGTTGGACCTCTACATTATTTCTAATTCTGACAATGTCCTGACCAGGTAATGTAATTCCCCTTATTTTACAGATAAAGACACTGAGGCTTGAAGTAATTTTCCCCAGACCAGCTAGGAAATGGCTGTGCAGAGCTTCAAACCCAGGTCTGTCTAACTAGGAGGCTGATGACTGTTACTTCTACCTGAGATGGCTAAGTCTGTGTCTTTTCTTTCTGCTGTCACCTAATGAAGATTTATTCTGTCTGAGCACTTAATGCATAAGAATCTTCCATTTGGTGACTTCTCCTTTACCCTTTTTATGTCTATATAAATGCAATGACAGTTCTTTTATATAGCAAGGGATGCATCTTTGTGGCACACAACTTTGAAAATAACAACATCACCAGATGCACACATCCAAATGGGTGTGAGTTGCCTTGGTGATTAGAGACTTATTCCAATGATGCTGTTGTCTGTCACCACCTTTCTTGTGCTTCTTTTTTAGAAGTACCTTCAAAGCCAGTTTACAAACCATACAAAGAAAGTAGCCTCCTCTTTTAGGAGGCATTTACTTTTTTATTTTTTTTTAAATGGAAACATCACTTTTATTGACAATTAAGGGCCATAATGGACAGGTCCACAGAACAAAAATAAAACGATTCTAAGACAATGGAGTACAAAATACAGCATACAAGTTAATACTCTTCACCCTCATCCTCTCCCTCAGCACTATCTGCTCCATCCTCCTCATAATTCTTCTCAAGGGCAGCCATGTCCTCACGGGCCTCTGAAAACTCTCCTTCCTCCATCCCCTCACCCACGTACCAGTGAACAAAGGCACACTTGGCATACATCAGGTCAAACTTGTGGTCCAAGCGAGCCCAGGCCTCGGCGACAGCTGTGGTGTTGCTCAGCATACACACAGCTCTCTGTACCTTGGCCAGGTCTCCACCAGGCACCACAGTGGGAGGCTGGTAGTTGATGCCAACCTTGAAGCCAGTGGGGCACCAATCCACAAACTGGATGCTGCGCTTGGTCTTGATGGTGGCGATGGCAGCATTGACACCTTTAGGAACCACGTCACCACGGTACAACAGGCAGGCTCGGCGGGCATCCCCCTCCTACCTTACCACTCCATGTGTGTCCCTCCTGAAGCTGCGAGTTCGGTGGAAGAGGACGACCATCCTTGATAGATGAGGACTGGTCTTTGGTCAAGGGTATACAAATCCCCCACTGGAACCTCCAAACAAGCTCTCAAGAGTAAAGAAAAATTATATCGTTTAGAATTCACATCTATATAAAGAATAGCATTAGAGAAGGAATAAAGGCAAAATATAATTCTTTTATTTTTTCATATTTTTAATTGATAACAGTTTCTCAACATAATAATACCAAGAGGCGGGGCATGGTGGCTTATGCCTGTAATCCTAGCACTTCAGGAGGCTGAGGTGGGCAGATCACCTGAGGTCAGGAGTTTGAGACCAGCCTGGCCAACATGGCAAAACACTGTCTATACTATAAATACAAAAATTAGCCAGGCATGATGGCATGTGCCTATAATCTGAGCTATTCCAGAGGCTGAGGCAGGAGAATCGCTTGAACCCGGGAGGCTGAAGTTGCAGTGAGCTGAGATTGTGCTACTGCACTCCAGCCTTGGCGACAGAGCAAGACTCATCTCAAAATAATAATAATAATAATAGCAACAAAGTTTGCAGTGATTACAGACACCCTAGTGTTGGCTTAATAGGCACATGAATGGAACGGTTATTGTGGCAGAGATGGGGGCTGCATATGAGCCCCATAGCAGGGTCCCTCATTCATCAAGGATGATGAGTGCAAAACAGCACCGTCCATCAAGGACACCAGCTGGTCTGTTTGTGTCAAGTGCTCTACACTGGATCTCATCTATTCTTGAAAGAGCAGGAACTCATCTTGACTGGGCTCAACTCTTATTTCAGCCATGGGTTGGCCTTTTCTGCTTGGAAAGCTTCAGCCAGAACATCTGAGTATTTATTCTATTGACACAAGATCCCACATGGCATCACACTGAACCAGACTACCGATTTTACAGGAATGGAGGTGCAGCAGTGGGCACATGACCATGAAATCTACTGACCCTGGAACACACTGACGGAGCAATGGAAAAGCCTCTGCAGCTCAGGTGCTGACAAGATGACCAGTGAGAATACAATGCCCATGTTCCGGGATGCAGCATAGGTTTCAAATGAATGACCAGTATATGGCGTGCTATCTCCTAGGTAGAACACCTGGATGTAGCACATCAAGGGTGGAAACAGTTCTTACCATAATCCCAGTCATCTCCTCTTTAATTTCTGCTTTTGGTCCCACGACTTTGGACTCTGTGCATTTAAAGATCTTGGCCCCAGGGAGGGAATGCTTCTATTGTAGGCACAGCAAGAGTCTTATTAAATTTCATACAATGTGTCCCCACCTAACACAGTGGGTTCCTCCTGAGAGAGCAACAGTCAAGGAAAGGAGTCACCATCCATGATTGCCTGATCATCAAGAGGAGGCAGAGCTGCAGGAAGAGCAGGGAAAGGGTATGTTTGGCATCTCAGTAATCACTCAACTGTCTCTCAATGCACCTGCATTTGATTTTGAGGGTAAAAGGGATAAATGTGGCCAGGTGCAGTGGCTCATGCCTGTAATCCCAGCACTTTGGGAAGCAGAGGTGGGAGGATCACTGGAGCTCAGGAGTTCAAGGCCAGCCTGGGAAACATGGAGAACTCTCATCACTGCAAAAAAATAAAATAATTAGCTGGGCATGGTGGTATGCACCTGTAGTCCCAGCCACTCGGGAGGCTGAGGTGAGAGGATCGCTTGAGCTCCAGAAGCCAAGGCTGCAGTAAGCTAAGATTGTGCCACCACACTCCAGCCTAGGTGACAGAGCAAGGCTCAGTTTCAAGAAAGAAAAAAAAAGGAAAGGGGCAGTTGGGGAGATAAGTACAGCAGCCACAGACTGAGAAGGGCCTGGTGACTGGGAGCTCAGACCACTCAGGATTGAGGATCTGGATCATCCCACCAGGTGAGCCACCATCTCCATCAGCAGAGGTGTCTGCTAAGGGTTAGGGGAATCTAGATCGGGTGGTTAAGGGAAATGATGAGCACCATTTGTCTCCTTGAGACCAGCTGCTGTGGCAGGGGCTCTAGTTTGTTCCTCTAACTTTCCTTTTACACGTTTCCTTCGGGAAGACAGGTTCATCAGAATCCTGAATCAGCTTCTCCCAGAATTTACATAAAAGCCAGTGGATCTGGCTTGGGGTGGTGGCTTACGCCTGCAATCCCAGCAGTTTGGGAGGCTGAGGCAGGCAGATCACGACATCAGGAAGTAGAGACCATCCTGGCTAACACAGTGAAAACCCATCTCTACTAAAAATACAACAAATTAGTTGGGCATGGTGGCACGCCACCTATAGTCCCAGCTACTCAGGAGGCTGAGGCAGGAGAATCACTTGAACCCAAGAGGCGGAGGCTGTAGTGAGCTGAGATCGTGCCACTGAACTCCAGCCTGAGCAACAGAACGAGACTTCGTCTCTGGAAAAAAAAAAAAAAAGTCAGTGGATCTAAGTGGTGCAAGGGGTGGAATATAGTGGAAGCCACAGTGTACTGCCCAGAGTCCACCATCCACACCCCTCCCCTTAGAACTGAAGCCCTCATCCTCCCAGATGCTGGGAATATTGGCAGCTGGACAGTTTGTAGCTAGTTCTCCTTCCCAATGATTGCCCTTGGCTGAAGACATCCACCTTGCTCAAGGTCATCTCCCCTTCCTGGAGACTGCTCATGGCCAGTGACTGACAGTCAATGAGAAGTTTTAAAGGACCAACTTCCTTGTCCCAGTTTGGAACACCTTGGGACCAGGCATCCCAGGTCCTGCATTCACCATGGGACCAGCTGATGCCTTTGTTGTGACTTGGTACAGCCCAGCCTCTCTCTGCCCAGTCCTGGTTTCTTCCCTCCTCCACCTGGGTGGTCCGAAAAGCACATTTGAATTAATTTTCTGCATACAAATCTCAGACTGCTTACTACAGAAACCAACCTGCAACAATCTCAAGAGTTGGACCTATCCCTTTCTGTGTCATTGAAAACTTTAAGATATACTTGAGAAAAAAAAATTCCCTTTAATGTCCTCTGCTTACATGGAGCATTAGCTTTCTTGATAATATATTAATACTTCATTACTGTTGTATTTTCATCCTTAGCCCTGTGCTCTGCTTTTCATCTATTAGGTAGATGATTAGAAAGCAAGGTCTCTTCCATGAGGTTCCTACACACTGCATGGGTTTCTTTAACATGAGTCCTGCTTTTCCTTTATTGGGACCATTTGTGATAGCCCCTTGAAAATTACATTTTTAGTTCTTCCCAATCTGTTTTTGTTTGTTTGTTTTGTTTTGTTTTGAAACAGAGTCATGCTCTGTCATCCAGGCTGGAGTATAATGGCATGACTTTGACTCACTGCAACCTCCCCTTACCAGATTCAAGCAATTGTCCTGCCTCATCCACCCGAGTAGCTGGGATTACAGGCACATGCCACCACACCTGGCTAATTTTTGTAATTTTAGTAGAGACAGGGTTTCTATGTAGCCCAGGCTGGTCTTGAACTCCTGACCTTAAGTGATCCAGGTGCCTCAGCCTCCCAAAGTGCTGAGATTACAGGTGTGAGCCACCATGCTCAGCCAGTTCTTCCCAATATTTATAGCTGTGTTTCCTCATCTGCAAATAGGTGTCTGTACATTTCCTTTGAATTTTTCATGTTCTACTTTTATAAAGACTAAGAGACATTGCTGACCAGCCAAAGTATGATTAACTTCTCTTAAAACTCAAATGCCAGTTTAGGCTTCTTCCAGTAGACCCTCCTCCCCTTTTCCCCATATTCTCTCAAGTATGAGCTGGTTGAGAAGCAGGAGAATGCACTATTCAGTGCATTGAGAGGTTCTTCCCTGGCAGGGAGTGGGATTCAGAAATATTCTGGAGCTCCCTTTCCTTGCTTGGAGTGAATCTTGCCCTCAGGCCACCCCTGTAAGGCTATGCATGGTGTGTGGCCAGCCCAATCGCTGGGCTTCAGCCTGGGTTCCTGGTTTTCTCTTCTATCATCTGCTGGGCCAGGAGCCAAGACTAAGCCCAGTCCAGTTGGCTGAGACTCTGCTTCTCCTAGTTTCTGCCAACTTTGTTGCTGGTATTTCTACTTTAATTTATACGTTGATACTTGGGCCAAGACTCTGGTCAACAGGATACCAGGAACTCTTGCTTCCCAGAATGCCCCCTCCTCCCCCTGCCCTCACATCAGGCCCTTCATACTGATGCTGGCCCAAATTGCACCTGTTTCCACCCTGACTGCACCTGAGTCCACACTAAGACCTGGGACCTGAACCGTTAGCATCTTGCAGCCTGGGTGAGTTTCCCTGCCCTGTACTGGGCACCTCAGCAAAATCCTCACAGTGAATGCTTCCATACCCGTCACTTCAGCTAGTGCAGCTGCTTTGACAAATTAGTCCCTGTTAATGAGAATGAAGCCCAGTGTAGTTTGTTCCTCTGATTAGATCCACAGCCTCTGAAGGGTAAAATTGCTGGCAAAGCAAGTGAAAATGTTACCAGATTTTGAGCATTTATCTTAATGGGGCTTTGTATGAGGATTTAATTTAGGTTTAGTTGTGACCAGAATATCCTGCCTCTGTTTTGTTCCCTGTTATTAAAACAGTATTCAAAGCCTCCATCTCAGCAGATGGATTTGTTATTTTCCCACAATTACATTTTCAAAACTTTAACTTCAGATTTGTTGATATTCAAAACGATATCTTACTCCAAAGCAAGAAAGACTTAATTTATGACAGAAAACAATTAGTATTAACACATAAACAAACCATAGTGGAACAGTTCACTGGGATTTGTAAAATAGAGCACCACCTACATGCCAGACACTCTGACATCAACTATATGTCAGAGAGGCTAAATGTCAAGTACCAAGAACCAAGCTGTCCTAAGAATGAGCAGGGAGATAGTGGCTCATCATCAAGCAGTAATAAGATGACTAAGGTCATAATAGACTAATAACTAAGATATTCGTTGATCTTTCCAAGTACTATAAGTAGCTTAAAATGTTATATTAAGATACTTGTTACAATATCTTAAACTGAGATCTCACATTTTTAAATGCTTACTCAAAATCATGTGTCAGCATAACTTCTTCAGCAAGTTATACATTGCTTGGGCCAATATTAGCTTTTGTTTTTATCCTGTAGCCCTGGTATACATACTGGCCTTAGATAAACCCACAGTGGACAATTTACACACAAAAGAAGAATCATTTACCTGTATGAAGCCAGTGAATAGTCTAAATTGCACAACTTACTACCACCCGAGGCAAGCCTATCCTTTATAAGATTATCTGTCCTGAGCTCAGTCAGTTTGTAAGGGGCTACCTTGTTTTCCTTCAAACTGGTATTCAGCTAAGTGGACAGGCTAGGCAAATCCACTGGCAGATTTCTTCTCATTATGCTGGAACAATTACTGGAATTTAAGGAATGATATATGAAGCAAGATAATTTAAGACCACCAAAGAAGTGACAAGGGAACCACATTTTTGTGTGTCCGGAAGCTGTCCTGCCTCCAGCTCAACGGATGTCTCTGCAAGTTCAGCGCAGGGCAAATGGAGGGAACACTCCAACTTCAGGGGCCTTTGCTTAACCTCATGTGCTCCAGGTTGGCTCTTGAGAATTAAAAACCAAAACCCACGTTACAAGCATCTTTCAAATTCTATTAATTGAGCTAGAGATATGGAAATAGATCTAGACAAAATTATGGGGGTGGGGTGGGGTGAAGAGAGGACAGGAAGCCGCTGTCCTATAAGGTTTCACAAAATGGAAGCGGGGAACCCAAAGTCACTTTAGCTTCTGAACCGACTTCAGTAAAGGTTGGTCTTCCTCATGATCCGAAGGAACTCCTCCTCGTTCACTTCGCCGTCCCCGTCCCGATCAGCTTCGTCGATCATCTCCTGCAGCTCCTCGTCCGTGAGGTTTTCCCCCAGCTCGTTGGCCACGCGCTTCAGGTTTTTGAACGAGATCTTCCCAGTCTCATCGTCATCAAAGAGCCTGAAGGCCTTCAGGATTTCTTCTTTGGTGTCCTTCTCGGACATCTTCTGAGTCATCACGGCCAGGAAGTCATTGAAGCTGATCTTCCCCGTGCCCTCCTTGTCCACCTCGGAGATCATCTTCTTCATCTCTTCCTTCCTGGGTTCGAAGCCCAGCGCTCTCATGGCCACCTTCAG